ACAAGGTGAGTGGGGTAAGCCAAGGTACTAGAGGGATGTTGTGTGTGGACTCCTTCTTGGGTACAACTTCACTGAGTCACTTTATCCCCACACAGGAGATAAAGATAAAAAAAATGGAGACAACATTTATCACATGAATGACAGTATTACTAGTCAAGGCAATGAAATACCTTCCCTGCTCATTATCCAGGAAGAGGACTGTCCTAGGCTTGAAGAGGACAGTGTTTCTTTGAAGAATCTGCTCAGCTCTGGAAGAGCAGGTATAGGCACATCCAGGTCCAAGGAAGGGTCCCTGAAGGGACCCTCATATCAAGATGCCCTTATAGAGGGGGGACCAGGGTTTCTCTCTCAGTCAATCCAGGTCATCCCTGAGCCTGTTCCTACCCACCAGAGGACTGAGGGGAGCTCCACATGTGGGGGACACCAAGGAAGATGCCATGAAGCCCACAACTCATACAGATGTGAAAAGTGTCCCAAGATCTTTAGGTATTTCTCTCAGCTAAAAGCCCATCAGAGAAGACACGATAACGAGAGGACATTTACTTGTGCTGAGTGTAACAAAGGCTTCTTCCAAGCATCAGACCTACACGTGCATCAGAAGATTCACGCAGAAGAGAAGCCTTTCACGTGCAGCACCTGTGAAAAATCCTTCAGCCACAAAACCAACCTCCTGGCACATGAGAGAATCCACACAGGGGAGAAGCCCTATGAATGTTCCCTCTGCCATAGAAGGTACCGCCAGTCGTCCACCTACCACCGCCACCTGAGGACTCACCAGAAAAGTGCCTTCAGAGGTGTTCCTTCCACACCAGAAGCTTCCTCGGGTGCAGCCCCAATGGAATGATACATGAGTATCAATGCAAATATGTATATTTCCGTAGTACTTCCCTATTTAGAACATATACTTTCCTGATTATATTTTCCATTTATTGTCTTCGCTAAAATATAAGTTTAAGGAGAAATTTCTTAGTTTGTTCACTAGAGTATCTCAGGTACTGATATTTGGTTGACAAATTTCAAATAACCAATAAATAATCTGCTCAATAAATGGATGAATGTGTAATGTTGGTGTTTATTCTTTAAAATCCAGGAATGTCCAACTCCAGGACACAAACACCAGCTTCCAGTGGTCAAGTGATGCTTTCCCTCCTGCTCCCCTGTCCTCTGTCCACACAGTTTATCTTTACTGGGCCACATGCACCTAAAAAGGTGGAGAGCAGAGGCAGAAACCCAGAAATAGGCCTTAGCCTATAAAAGGGAACCTTTATATTCAAATGATATATTTCTGTAATTCGCTGGAAATATTAATAGCTAAACTGGACCTGATATGATTGGTGACTGAAAGTTTCAGAATGCTATTTTATCGACAAATAAATACCAAAAAAGGGCAAATGCTTTCCACTCATTTCTTCCAGAGATGGCAGGTATTGGGGGATGAGGAGCTTATTTGCAGAACTAGTTTGAAAGGGCAGTTTGGAGGAAATGAAAATATTCTGTGCACGGCAGAGGCAAAAAGCACTTATGCTGGTTACTTGGAATACATTTGTGAGCTAGTTTCCACTAGGAAATTAGGGCTCACTTACACTGAGAAACTAGAAGGTACCATGTGGAAATGGCTTGAATCATGGAAGGGGGTATTCTGTGGGGTAAATTGTGACATTTCTCTCACTGCATCCATAATACAGAGGATTATGGGGCTGCAGATAATGCTCCACTGTATGGAGAAGCCCATTTATCTGTCCTCTTTCCTGAGCTGTCTCCAGGTGTTTGCTATTGTGAATATCCTTGCACATACCTCTTGGTACAAAGGAAAGCTTTTGTTTGGAAAGATCTCTGTGAGGTGAGTTGTGAAATAATAGAAAACATATGTTGGTCTCTGTCCCTAGTTCCAGGCACAGAGCTGCTAAAACCCTTGTAATTTCTTAAGTGATGAGAGCACTAGAAACATCTTTTGTTCTTTTTTTTTT